GGCGTGTGTGTGTGTGTGTATGTGTGTGAGAGAGGGGGGGGGGGGGGGGGGCGAGCTCGGGGGCGAGGCCGCAGGCGCGCGGGTGGCCGAAGCCGCTGCGGCGAGCGCCCCCTTCCCAGTCTGCGGGGCAAACAAGCGCCCCTGGGGGGCCCGCGCGAGGGCGGACCCACAAGCTGGAGGCGTCGACGAGCACGGTCTTCGGCGAGCCAGCTGCAAGTCAGACCCAGACGTCTGTGGGCGACGCGCAGGACATCGGGATATTCTCCGAAGACCTCAGAGCGCCCCAGTGGGTTGAGCATTTAGGAGCATTGGTTTGGCGGCCTCAGGAAGCCACGCGAAATCAACATTGCTATGCCGCTTTTGTGGCCAACAGGTGTCTCGACCACCAAGTTTCAGTTGCTTGGGTTCAGCTACGCGCGCCTGCAGGCCCGCAAGCGGCAATGTGCTCAAGCTCAAGCGAGCGACGGGCCATGCCAAACTTTGGCAGAGAGGTGCACCGCGCTCGTTTCCTTTCCCGCGCCACGATGGCAAGCGGGGCAATCCGCGCGGCGCAGGGCCACGGGAGCGACCATCTTTCGACGGCCCGCAGCCCCACGCGAGCGGCGCAATGTAGAGTTCGCGGCAGCACTTCCCCGAAGCACCCTGACCGAGCCAAGGGCTGCCAGGTGCAAATGGGCCCCCCGCTAGCCTCGAGGGGCCGAGCGGCGTCGGCGGGCCAATTTCACCACGCAGAGATGGCGGTGATTCCGCAGGCTAGCCACGACATAAACGAAGGGCCCCTCGCGCGCGCGGCGAGCGAGGAGCCTGCAGGAAGCGAGCGGCCCGCAGGAGCTTTGCGCCTCGGCTGGGGGCCTTGAGCCGCGAGTCGCCTCTGTCCTGCCCCTATTCGGTGGCCTCGGCACTCAGGAGAGATGCAGTTTTCACTGCGCCATGATCACCAGACGCCCCACATATCCAATTATTAAAATGAAGTTTGGTGCCCGGGCTTTCTCGCAGGCTGCGCAGACGCGCCGGCGCGCTCGACGTCGACGCGCGCGCGATTGTCGAGCTCGTGCGATTTGCATGTCGGCCCGCTGTCACCGGCGCGGCGGGGCAGTGCGTTTCCCTCGCTCCACGTTGATCGCGGGTGAAAATCATGACACATGTTTGTTTGGGGAGCCGCCCCCCGCATCTGAAATTCAGACCGCCCCCGCCCGACATTCAGATTGGCCCCGTCTGAAATTCAGACCCCCCCCCGCGGGGGCTCGGGCGAGGCATTATGCCTGAGGCTTCTGCGCGCATTATTCAGATTGGCCTGGTCAGAAATTCTGATTGGCCTGGTCTGAGTTTCAGATTGCCATGGTCCGGATTTCAGATGCGGTGGCTCCGCGTGGAAGAACTCTTCGGTTTGGCGCCGCTGCTGTCGGGGCGAACATGGTCGACGTTTGCGCTCCTGTGTGGTTGCGACATAGGGCGCGAGAGTGTCCTTGAATTTCTCTGAGGGCAGCTGGCACTCGAAGCCCCGATGCTCCCTTGGGCGCGGCGCGCCGTGCAGATGCGAAACATTGAGAAGTCGATGTTTCATGGTCGGGGGGGTGCCTTGTGATGCCCGCGTAGTCAAATTTGGCCGATGCAGGCCAGCGCGAAGTGGATCGCCGGATCCAGCTGGCGGTTACAGAAGGCCGACAGAGACGGAACGCTAGGGCTCGGTCGTCGGTCGGTCGAGGAGGCCGGGTCGCTCGCAGATGTTTTAAGGGCCCCGGTCCGCCGCCATTGCGTGGGTTTGAGCACGGGGACACTTCGGTCCCCGAGGAGGCTGAGAGGCCCCTTGTAAGTCAGGCTGCCCTGGACAGAATCCTAGCGGATTGGACCCCAATGTGGACCAAGGCCGCCAGAGATTGCGCCAAGGGCGCGTGGGCGCATAATGCGCTGGCTGCAGGGGCTAGCGAGGTCCCGGGCCTCGGCGCAGGCGCCCTTTCTTAGGGCCCTGTCGCGGCGCCCATCCTCGCGAGCGCAAGGGTGGGTCTCCATTTTTTGAGCCCGTGGATGTTGCGGGTGCCGACGGGAGAGCCACGGGGCCGCCGCGTCGCGTCGCTCTGCCGCAACCCGCAGGGCCACCATCGCAGCCTGCAGTTTTGCAGACAGGGCTGGCCTGGCCAAGCGCGGGCAAAGCAGAGGCTGGCGAGGGAAAAGTCCTGGAGGCCGCTCAAGGAGCTGCTACATGATGGGGGCGTTGCGGGCTGGGGGCGTCGCGGCGTTGGACAGAGAGCTCCGCCAACAGGCAGGGCGGCTTGCAGCTCCCCCCCCCCCCCCCCGCTGAGTGCCCCGATCACGCGACGGGAGATGGCGATGATTTGCGACCCAGATGGCGCGGCGCCACAGGGCGGCCACGTTTGCGCGGTGCCCGACGGTCGGTCTCGCGTCAAAGGGCGCGCTTTCCTCGGCAATGGCCCTGCTCAGTTTCATCGGCAGGGTCGAAGCCAACCGCGCAGACCGCGGAGTTTTAGATCACCTGGGAGCCCAGGGTCTCGCCATGAGCTCGTCGGAGGGGGGAGGCCGCCGCCATTGCGGCCCCCCCTCCGCCTGCCCCCCCCCCCCCCCCTGTCGGCTGGCAGCCCGAGTGAGCAGCCAGGTCCAGAGCGGGCCTCGATGGCCCTGGGCTCTGCGCATGTGCCCTGGCCTTCCAGGGGGCAGGTGCTGCTGGAGTTTGAGGTGGTGGCCGAAGGCCAATCATTGGTTTTGTTCTGCTCCACTCGCGGAGGCTCTGCTACAATTTCGCAGGGCCTCAGAGGGATCCGCGACGCCAGCTCGGGCTCCCCGCGGGCCTTGGTGGACCCACGCATGAAGAATGCCAGTGCTTTTCTCTGGGCCTAGCACCCAAACGGGCCTTTCAAAATTGACCCCTGGAGGACCCCCAGCGGGGCGGCTCGCGCGTCGGCGGGCGCTCTTGTTAAGGCCCCAGGGGCCCGGTAGAGGGAGGTGAGACGCGGGCCAGATAGCGGCCCGCTGGTCATTGTCTGCCTTGCGGGTGCTCTCCAAGCCTTCGGGCTAGATGAGCGCGGAGCGCGAGCCCCAGGAGATTGGCGCGAGCGCCCTGAAGACCAGGGCGTCGAGACTGACTCAGACGGTCAATAAATCCTCCAGGGGGGCCTGTCGCGGCCCGCGGGCAGGCCGATGGCCCCCTGCCCGCGGCCGACAAAGGTCCATTCGGATGGCCCCCCTTGGGGGGGGGGTTTTGTCTGGCTGTCGGACCCCCCCCCTCGGTGGCGCGCGATCACCGCCTCCGCCTCCTGGGAGGTTCCTTGAGACCTCCTGGGGCTTCCCGGAGGCCTCTTGGGTGGTCTTTTGGGGGCCTCAACAAAAAAATCTTGGGGGCCAACGGAGCGCCCTGTGATTCGTCGGGGCCCGTGCTCCCGCCCCGCCGTTCCAGCCAGCGCAAGGCTGCCCCAATCCTGGGATGCCGCCCCCCTTCAGGGAGGCCGTGCCAGACCGCGCGCCGGCCGCGGACAGGCCCTCGCACGTGTCGGCACGAAGGGAATGGGTACGGAAAGACTGGGCACGATGCCCAGCAGCAGCTCCTGTTCATTTTGAACAGAAGAGGGCGGAGCCCCGCTTCTGTTCTGAGAACACTTGTTTTTGTCGTTCGGACCTTTCTGCACGAACGAAATGGGCACGGAAAGACGGGGCACGATGCCCAACAGCAGCTCCTGTTCCGCTTGAACAGGACTCGCTGTCCGCGCCGCCGCGGCCTGTCCATTTGAGGCAGAAGGCCGCTTGCCCAACAGCTGCCGCTGCTGGTTGGGGACAACATTTGTTGTTGGGCATTGTACCCACTTTTTCCGTACCCATTTCGGGCGTCCAAAATGTATCAGTGTTCGCGCCATTCCACCAGTCTGAAGTCGGGCCTGTCCATCGACAGGGGAATTATTCAAAAATCGTTTTAAAAAACAGTCTGGGGACTATTTTTTTAGTATGTAGGAGCATCTCTTTTGAGTATGTTTGGATATTTGTTATGTTTCGTCCACAATCCCCCTGTAGGGGGACAAGCCCGACTGAACACCAGTCCCGTAGGTTCTCTCCTCTACGAACGCCCCGCCCGATTCGGATCGAACGGCCTTCGGTCCATCCCGCCGCCGTGCCTGGGCTGCGGGGATGAAGCCTCTTGGCTGTCCGTTGGGGAGGCCTCTCGGGGGCCTTTGGGGGGGCAGTTTGGAGGCCAAGGAGTTGGAGGAGGAGGAGGAGGAGGAGGAGGAGGAGGGGGGGACCTGAGGGCACGACCTCTCCGTGCCCAGCGGCACGGTGGCAGATTCCCGTGTGGGGGGCCGCCCGCGGCCCGGCTGCTCGATCGATCGATGATCTTCCTCCTCCTCCTCCTCCTCCTCCTCCTCTCCTCCTCCCTCCTCCTCCTCCTCCTCCTCCTCCTCCTCCTCCTCTTCCTCCTCCTCCTACACCCCGCCCTCCTTCTCCTCCTCATTCCTCCCTCCCTTCTCCCCCACCGTCCGCACTACTCTGCCTGTATATGCAACACACCCTGTGGCCGAGCGGAAGCGTCTGATGGTGCGAGGCCACCATGGGCTGTCGTCGGAGTTTCCCTTGGGCCGTCCTCTTTCTGTCAATCCATCAACTCTTCAATAGCACGCGGGGCACATTCGACATAAACACACATTCTCGGAGGTTCGCACGAATTTTTGGCGTCAGCGTTGGACCACACCTTGCGGCGCCGCCTATGGCGCGCCTCACGCGCCAGGAGAGGGGAGACGAGCGCCGACCCAAGAATTACGCGAGGACTTTTAAGGCTCATGTTTCTGATGTGTTTTTCGTGCTTCCATTGGGGTCGTCGGTTGAGGCTGCGCAGCCCGACCTACACCTAGTGCAGGCAGACTGGGACGGCCTAGTCCGTCTAAGCTGGATGGACGACGACGAGGACGACGACGACGACGACGACGACGACGACAACGACAACGACGACGACCGCGCACCCCGCTCGCGCCCGTCGTCGAGCGTCCGCGCGTCGGCGTCAGGCTGAGACGAACACCAAGCAGAATTTCGAGATGCCCCGGGCCTGGAGCACCCCAGATCGGCCTCGGAGGTTCATAAACTCTAGGCCTCCCAGGTGGAGTCGGAGTAGATCGTGCCGCATCGCCGATGCATCGGCGATGCGGCTCGATGTGGAGCCCGATTTCTCAACGCCGGCGTCGCCGATGCACCGCCGACGTCGCCGATACATCGCCGATGCATTGGCGATGCGGCGCGATCTTCCGACCCCATCTACTCGGACCCCATCTCGGAGGCTCACAAAGCATTCGGCAGCACATCATGGGAGCCTGGTATACCTTCGCAACTCCGTCTTTCGAGCGCAGTAGCGTCGATTAGCGTCTGGTAGTCGATGGGATTGCGCCGAATTAGCGTCGATTAGTCAGCGTCGATCTAGTTAGCGTCGACTAGCGTCGATTTTCGAGGGCCAACAAGATGGTACGGGAGGCTCCCACGGGTTGCTGCAGGAAACGGTACGATGACCACCGTCCGGAGAGTCAGAGGTGTTCAGGGTTAAGTCGGGCCTGTCCCTTTACAGGGGGAATATTCAAGTATTGTCAAAAAAATAGTCTGGGGACGTTTTTTTAAGTGTATGTTTTGACCATGTTGGTATATTGTTAGGGTATTTTTCATTTTTCGTCCAACATCCCCCTGTAGGGGGACAGGCCCGACCTAAGTTCAGGGCCAGCGCACCAAGTTCTGGGACTTGGATCGTGTTCCAGGGACGCCTCCGACGCCCGGCCGGGGTCCCCAGAAGTCCGCGGAGACTGGCCGTTCGGGGCCATCTTTGGGCTTTCGAGGCTTTTTTGCAATCTTTGGGTTTTTTTGCGATCTTTGGCCATCTTTCGAGGTTTTTTGCAATCTTTGGGTTTTTGTTGCAATCCTTGGGTTTTTTGCAATCTTTCGAGGCTCGAGGGTCGCATTTTTCCTCTCTCGGCAAGGGCGCCCTCGAGGGCGCGAAGTGGTTCGCGCTTCGCGGGTCGGCTCCGATTCCTCCTCAGCCTCCTCTTCTCCCCTGGGAGGCGGCGCGAGAGCGCGAAAAGTTGTTCGCACGTCGCGCCTCGCGGAGCGCGAAGCGCGAAGTTGGGAGCCCCTGCGTTTCCTCTCGCGGGCACGAGGCATGTCCTTGGTATCGCTCGGACGAGGCGTGTCCCTGAATGTTCCTCCTGCAGAGGGACGGGCGATTCTGTTCTCTGACTGGCCTAAGGCCATCTTGCAGGCCTCTTCTGCCAGTCCCACGACCAGGGCACAGGACTGCGGTCTGCTAGCGGAGCGGCGTCCCTGGAGGTCTCGACGGCTGCCCCTGCATGGGCTTCTCTGCCCGAGTCGCTTGGTTGACTGTTCCGTGGCCCAGCGAGGGTCCAGATCGTCCGGCAAAAAAGAGTAGCACGCACGACGAAACCGACAGAGGCGCGGGGCATGGGCCTCCGGGCCATGGCAGGTGTCGGCGCGCCGTGGAGCTGTGGGCATCGAGCGGGCCCGCGCGTCACCCTCGCAGGGAAAAGGGGAGGGGGCGGGGGGGAGCGAGGCGGAGGAGGGAGCCTGTTTTTTTTTCAGACTCTGGCAAGTTTACTTGCATGCACGGGGGGGGGGGCTGAGCCTGAAGCAAGCCGCAAACGACTTGCACGTTCGGGGGGGCGCGGAAATCACGCAGGTCGAAAGGCACTTGCACGCTAGTATTCGCTTGAAGAGGGGCGAGGGGGGGGGGGGGGGGCGAACGCCATGCAAGTAAACTTGCCTGAATCAAAAAAAACAGGCTCAGGGGGGGAAGGCAACGGGGGGTGCAGTGGGCACCGGGCGCCACGAGCTGTGCATCTGGGCACATATTCTGCCCGGGAGGCTCCAAAAATCGTGCCGGACGAAAGGGGGGATTTGGAAAGGGGGGGGTACAGAATTCGCTGCATGCAGCTGGTTTCGGCCTCACCGAGGGGCCCAGTCCTCGATGCATATAGCCGCCTCCAGCGCCGGGAGGCGCCGGGAAAATCAGCTACGTGAGCTGATTCTCAAACCCTTTGCTATCCCCCCCTTTCGCCCGACCCGAAAAACGCAAGGTTTTGGTCACAAAAACGAGCGCATCTCGGGCTTGGTGCGTCGGGGGCTTCGGTTTTGGCTCTGCAAGGAGCGAAAGGGCCCGACACTCACCTACCGCTGCAAGCCCGGTGACTGAATCACTCGGAGGAGCAGGACGACAACAGGGAGGAGTCTTTGCCCAGATGAGGCGTTGCGGTCCTCAGATGGACGGCTCCGAGGTGTGACGTCTACCCCTAACCGCAACGATCCGCGAAGGTTTCGCGGCCGGGAAACCGAGTGAAAATGCCCCGTGCTCAGGCTGCCTTGCGACGTGCCCGCCCGTGCGCACCAGGTGACGAAGCTGTGGCCGAAGGGTGCTCCGGGCGGCGGCCAGGCGGGGTGCTCCGCCGGCGCGCGAGTCGATGCGCGAAGCCGCGCGCGCCTCGACGCGGCGGCGACGGCTAGTGCATGCTTCGGGGTCTCGGGGTGGGGCCTCCTCGTGGCCACGGCTGGACACGCCTGGTAGAAGCTGCTCCGAATGGTGCCCACAGGGCCCGGGCGTTCCTTCTGGGCGAAGGTTGCCCTGTGGAGGTTCGCGCCGCCTCGACGCGGCGGCGACGCAGGCGCAGGCGTTCCAGGTTGAACCGGTGGACCTCCGTCTCGAGCCCCGGGGAAGGCAGGAAAGAACTGAAGTCGGGCCTGTCCCTCTACAGGAGGAATATTCAGAACTAGTCAAAAAATAGTCTGGAGACGAGGTTTCGACTATGTTTCATCATTGTTTGCTTCTGTTTTGGTTATTTGTTATTTTTCGTCCAAAATCCACCTGTAGGAGGACATGCGCGACCTAAGAAAGAGCCCACGGAGCACCTCCTCTAGCCCCTCCACTCCTCCTCCTCCTCCTCCTCCTCCTCCTCCTCCTCCTCGGGTCGACTACGGCTCCGGGGGAAACCGTGCAGGCAAACCTCCCACTCCCAGTCTTGATGCAGTGGAGACCCATGCCAAGAAACACCCTGCTTGCCTCCTGGGTGCCATGGGTTTCTTGGGCTTCGATGGTTTTACGGTGGAAGGCGTGACGCTCCCACACCAAGAATCAATGGACGTCCTGGGGTCTCAGGGTTGGGTTTCTTGTGGAAGGTTTCTTGTGGATTGGCCTCCAGTGTATGATGAAGATCACCGTTTGGCGTATGGTCGACGAGCGTGTTCTGGAGCCGTGCCCTCTCGGTGCACCGCCTTCCAGCCTTGAGCTGGGGTGGGCTGCTGGTGAGGCTGCCTCGCTCGTTGCATCCAGCGCCCGTGGTCAGGAGCTTTCGCATATCCGATGGGTCAAGGGCTCATGTTAGCGGGGGGTAGGCTCAGGGGGGGGGGGCGCGCATCGACCCCCAATCGCCCATACCGCACATCGCTGACAGGGGCGGGATGGCCTCCCCCGCCCAGGAACAAGCGGCCTCGCTGTCGGGAGCCCGTTGCCGAGCTGCCGGCGCCCCTCTGGGCCCGTCCCCCTTCTCACGTTCTCCCTCGGGAGAGGGGTCGTTCTTCGAGGATGTCTAGGACGATTGGGGCTGCCGAGGTCCCAGAGCCGTGTGGTGGCGGACCTGTGCGGTTTGGTCTTCGCGGATTTCGAGGTCACCCCCGGGTCTGTTTGGGGCCCCCACCGATGGCACGACCCGGGTCCCCCAGATGCGCATCCTAAGGTTGGAGCAGTCGCTCACCGACGCGAACACGAACGACAACAAGGACACGATGCTGGCAGCGACCGCAAACCCTGGCAGCATTGGTCCTCACGAGATGGCGGCGGGGCCAGTGCCAAGGCGGATCACCATTAGGCTTAAGTCGGGCATGTCCCTCTACATGAGGACTATTCGAAAAGAGTTTTTAAAAAATAGCCTGGGGACGATGTTCGTCATTTTTACAAACAACTGTTTGAGTATTGCTTGGCTATGTTTCATTTTTCCTCCAAGATCTGCCTGTAGGGGGACACGCCCGACCTCACATTAGGGGGGTCACCAGTTCCTCCTGGAGGTCGAGGTCCCAGGATCGAAGTTCGAGGAGCTCTCTGGACGTCTGGGGTCGGTGTGATGGTGGCCCCTCTGCTGGCGACCCCCCTCGGCGACGCCCCAATGCCCTGGCATCGCTCGGACGTGTGCCATGTTTCTCCTCGGCGAGGACCATCGAGGAGCATCCTCCTCCCTCCTCCCTCCTCCTTCCTCCCTCATGCCTTGGCATCGCTCGGACGTGTGCATTTTTCTCCTCGGCGAGGACCATCGAGGAGCATCTGGGATCATCGTGCGGAAAAATTCAGCCACGCGCAGAGGGGGGTGGGGGAAGGGGGGAGGGCCTCTGAGAAGCACCCTGTGTCTCAGAAGGCGCGGGCCTCATCAATAGATGTAAGGCCGGCGCCTTCTAAGAAGCAGCCTCCTTTAAGAAGCCCTCCCCCCTCCCTCCACCCCCTCGTGCGCACCGCCAAAAAATGTACGCCCGAGCCCGAAGGGGGACGTCCGAGCGGCGGCGATGCCTCTGGCGACTCGAAAGCGGCGAGGAGGCGTCTTCTGCTGCTGGCTCCGTGCTCGGCGGCGGGAGGCCGCGTGTGGATCCCGGGGCCGCCGCGAGCCCGGTTCGGGCTGGAAACAGGTCCTTGTGAAGGCTGGGTAGTCGAAGGCCAGACTGTCAGATTGGATTGGGCCCCAAGGGCCAATCTGGCCCGGCCAAACTGGAGGATTTGGGTTATTCGCCAGACTGGATTCGCGTTGGCTCCCTCGCCAGATTGCCCCCGTTTGCCAGATTGGGCCTGCCAGATTGGCGCCAGATTGGCCTCGACTACCCAGGAAGGGGTCAGGGGTCCGGGGGCCATCGGTTGGAGATTGGGGCTTCTGCGGTTGCTCGAAGGACATGGTCGACGAGAAGGCGGCGAAGTCGGCCGCGGAGGAGGAGAAGGCGTCGAATGCCAAGGACCTCGAGATGACGGTCAAGGTCGGGGCGTTTGGCACTCCTTGATTTTGTTCCAGTGCCTTTGGTCTGCTAATGGTGGGGATGGCCTCAGCGTGGGTGGTGTGATTTGATTGTGCTCAGTCCTCGGGATGCAGTACGGTCGGCCCGAGGTATAAGATCGAGGTCGGTTCGGGGGGGGTACCCTGATGTTCTTCGTATGTGCTGGATGGTTTTGTCCTGTGGGGGATCCTCGAGTGATCTTCTGGATTGGGAGGGTTGTCCAGGGGGGGGATCCGTGGGGGGTCTGGTTCTTCGCGGGGTTGTCCAAGAGGTTGTCTGTGCCGTGCCAGTTTGCTGGCGCACGCACATGCCTTAGTCACCAATATCAGTAGAAACATGGCACAGCCAGTCAAACCCAGCTGGAAGGGGCGCATCTCTCCTTCTTCCCCTCATGTTCGTTCCTCCTCTCTCGCGTCCTTCTGCTCCCGCACGCACATCCTCATTGATCGTTGTTCCCCACGAAGCGTGGCTGGCTGGAGTCTTGTAGCTGTAGAAGCTAGTTCCAGCAGCGGGACCAGCGTACAGAGACATGCTCAAAATAAGGAGGTTGTCTTGCCAGTTTCGCTTGAGACATCCTCGTAACACTGGGCTCACGCATGCCCAGATCTGAGGTGGTCCGCCTGGTTTCGCCTGCAATATCCTTGCAAGTCTGGGCTCGGAGATACCGCCCACGAGGTGGTGCGTTCTCGCAACCTTGGTCTCAGAGATGTCCTGACCTCAGGTAGTTCAAAAGAAGAGAGCCACCGGCGACCCCCAAAACAAGGACAAGGCCTTTCCCCCGCACGTCGGATTCTCGAGGGGATTGTCCGGGGGGTTGTCAACAGGGTGGTCCGGGGGGTTGTCCAGGGGTCGTCCAGGCGCAATCCTACCCAAGCCCTCTCTTGGGCCTCCTCATTCTGCAGCCTTCAGCCATCTTCTCATCAGCTTCCGGCCACTTTCCCCAGCGACATCGTGGCAACTCTGAGCTCGGGGATGGCATGTCCTGACCTGACCTGAGGTTGACCAGCCAGATTCGCCGGAGATATCCTCGAAACTATGACTTCTGAGATGCTGCGCGCGAGGTTGTCCAGCCAGTTTTGCCTGAGACAGCCTCGCAACTTTGTGCACGAAGATGCCCTGACCCAAGGATGAGCACAAACAGGACTCCCACGGAGTCGGGGGGAGGGTGGCGAATGGTGCTGTCGTTGGAGCGCCGACCATGTCCCTGAACGGGAGTGGTGCTGTCGCCTGAGCGGTGACTACACTCGATTGGGAAGTGAGGTGTCGCCCGAGCACTGGATGTTGCCCTCGCCTGAGCGCCAGCCACATCCCTGATTGAAAAAGGTGCTCTCTCTCTCTCTCTCTCTCTCTCTCCAGTGCGCGGGCCACATCCCTGCAGAGGGAACGGTGCTCTCGCTCAAGCGTCGGCCACGCTTACATGCTGGGGCACTTGTGGAGGAGGAGGAGGAGGAGGAGGAGGAGGAGGAGGAGTTGCCCTGCAACATGGTTCGGGGGCGGCAAAGAGGGGGATGATGACTAGGGGTGTGGGGATATCCTGGCGGGGGGGCACCATATCTGCCCAGATCTCATCGCGCCTCACGATGCTCCAACCCACTTTTATTCAGCCTGGACCACGAGAAAGAATTCCGAGCGCCCAGAAAAGTACCAACACTCAAGGGTTTTCGCGTGTCGGGCCTCGGGAGAGACTCGCCCGACACTGTTTCGACACTTTTTCGACACCCTTTTGACACTTTTCCGGGTGCTCGAAATCATTTCTGGGATGCGGTCCTTAAGTAGGATTGGAAGAACACAGATCGCGCCTCGTCTTATCTCAAGACTTCCCTGGCCCCACCCCCCCCGGGGCCGCGCACATGCTGCCGGCCATGCTCTGCGCCCCCCTCGTGGACGCCCCCGCATGGTGGGTCCGCTTGTAGGGCAGGGCGTGGTCGGCTGGTGGCTCGGCCTGTGCTCAGGCCCTCGCCGACGCCAATGCCGTCCTGGCGAGCATCAAGAACGACTGCATGCAGGTGGCGGCGGACCACGAG